TATTCATGAATTATTTTGGTAATAAATTTTGTTTATTAGTCAATAAACAATCTATTGATTTTTAAGTCAAATTTTCTTGAAAGTTATAAGTTCTTTTTTTAATTACAAATTAATAAAATTTTAAACATTAATAATAAATAAAAAAATTTAATAGAATAAATTTGAGAGAAAATTACTTTTTTATTCATATATTTCATTTAAAATAATAAATTTATTTTATAAACTTATCGCCACAAATAATTTTAAAATCAAATTACCAATAAGAAAGTTGGTAATATAATACACTTGATAAGAGGAAGCTTTATTTGTGATTTTTTCATCATGATTTTAATCAATGTGATATATTGTTTTTCTTATATTAGATAAGTTTTGAAAAAAAATTTCTTTTATCCCAACAATTTATATTTAATTTTAAAAAATAAAAAATAGTTTATAAATTTTTGTTTTCTTTTTAAAAAAGAGAAGCAATTATAACTATATACCCCAATAAATATTCCAATAATTATTATAATCATAAATTTTATAATTTATGGTCCTTCAAGAAAAATTTGGATAAATATTTCATTTTTTTGTGTTTAAATTTTTAGAGAGAAAAATAAGTTGTGTTTACATAGTTTCATCAAAAACAAATCTTTTAATTAAAAATTTCCTTTGTTTTATACACATAGACACTTTGCTTCACTTATTATACACAAAAGCTACATTCAATTCTAAAAAAAAAATTAATATGACATGTAATTATGTTACAATGCTTTGTAAATTTATATAAATAATTGGTTTAATTTATTGAAATGCAAGAATTTTTTATTAATAAATGCAAGAATTTTTTTATTAATAAATACTCTTCTACTCAATATTTTTCTCCATTTGTTATCTTTTGTGATATGTTTATCGAAAGAGTGGAAGTGAAATATATATACAAACAAAGAGAAGAGGAAGGGGAATTGCTTAATTAATTAGATGGAGGTTGAGTTGTTTATTTCAGTGAAAAATAAATGGGAGACTTGAAAGGAAGTTATTAAGCTAATAATTAACTCTTTAATTGGAGTTTGCTCAATATTTGAAGTGATAATTTATACTGGAACTTTTAGAGACATCTCCCTGACTTTTTGCATTCTTTGGATTGGATGCGAGAATGCTATGATTTGGAAGATGAAAGGTTGCAAATAGAGTTATTAATTTTAAGCTATATTAAAAATAATGATGTGCTTTACTGAATAACTGAATAATAATATTGAATATCTTAAAAAAATAATAACTAATAATAATTTAATAACACCAAATATTAAGGTAAATTTATTCTTGCAAGCAGAAATCTGAATTTAATAATCACCAAGTGATGAACAATTATATTTGTAATTAAAGCACATAAAATAAAATAAAATATAAAATTAAATATATTAATTAGTTTAACTAAAATTTTGAGGGTGGAGCTTAATCTTAAAAAGACCAAGCTCTATAGAGAGGAGAGCAACGATTTTTTATAAAATTGGGAATAAAAAAATATTATATTTGCCTTGAGAGTATAAATAGAAGGTTTGTGAA